AGCAGCTGATTTATGAGCGCTCGCTTTACCTATATCCCATATTATACTCATTCCTGGTAATTGTTGTGTATATCGCTCGTTCTGGCCGGAAGGGCGTGGCTACAAGGTCACAGGCACACTGCATCACTTCCACTTGTACGGAAGACGTCAACACTACGTATGGTCCGACGAACAATTTTTTTAGATTGGTTAATATGGGCCACAATTCCGACCAACGACGAACGAACACCTCTCAGTCGTCGGATGACTGATCGGTCGATCGTTTTCTCACCTTTATGAGGAGATAATTGGGGCCAATCTATCTCCTAAGATACGGCTAAATATCTTTCAGACTGCTGACACCTTTTCTAACTATACAGGAATGCCAGATGTAATTATTCGAAGATGACATTTGTATATTGGGAGTGCCCGGTATTGAAGTGGTTAATAAAGCTTTAATTGTTTACAATTTGTGTATGGAGTTCTGTTGGTATGGTGCCTAAACAAGCGCTGGTAGATTTATTTTGGTAAGGGCCCTTGTACTTTGTGTCTTTTCAATAAGTGTATGACACCAGTAAAATCCACTAGCAAGGGGTGACACCATTGTCTATATAGTTCTCTCTCTCCCTCTTTTCCTGTAATATCATTATTAGAGATGAGCGAATCGAACCAGGCGAAGTGGAATTCGTTTCGAATTTCAGGAAAAATTTGATTTGCGTCAAATCCGAATATTAGCATACTTCGGGTGCGCGAATCGGATTTTTCCCGATCAGCCGGCAAAAGTGTCCCTGCAGAGAGCTCCGCTATTTCTGACAGTTCTCTGACAGTTCCTTCACATGTACAGCGGTTGAAACATTGTATCTATTTGTTTCCATTTAGGATACAGATGTTTTTATTTGGAAACAGATACAATGTTTCAACCGCTGTAAATGTGAAGGAACTGTCAGAGAACTGTCAGAAATAGCGGAGCTCTCTGCAGATACACTTTTTGCTGTACTGGAATACTTCTTCTTTTCATTCTTCTTTTCATTCTTCTCATTCTTCTTTTCATTCTTCTTTTCATTCTTCTCATTCTTCTTTTCTTCTTCATGAAAAGAAGAATGAGAAGAAGAATGAAAAGAATAATGAAAAGAAGAATGAGAAGAATGAAAAGAAGAATGAAAAGAAGAAGAAGAATGAAAAGAAGAATGAGAAGAAGAATGAAATGAAGAATGAGAAGAAGAATGAGAAGAATGAAAAGAAGAATGAGAAGAATGAAAAGAAGAATGAAGAAGAAGAAGAAGAAGAATGAAAAGAAGAAGAAGAATGAAAAGAAGAAGAAGAAGAATCTTTTCATTCTTCTCATTCTTCTTTTCATTCTTCTTTTCATTCTTCTTCTTCTTCTTTTCATTCTTCTTCTTCTTTTCATTCTTCTTTTCATTCTTCTTCTTCTTGTTTTCATTCTTCTTCTTCTTTTCATTCTTCTTTTCTTCTTCTTCTTCTTCTTTTCATTCTTCTTCTCATTCTTCTTTTCATTCTTCTTCTTCTTCTTTTCATTCTTCTTCTTCTTTTCATTCTTCTTTTCATTCTTCTTCTTTTCATTCTTCTTCTTCTTCTTTTCATTCTTCTTTTCATTCTTCTTCTTCTTTTCATTCTTCTTCTTCTTCTTTTCATTCTTCTTTTCATTCTTCTCATTCTTCTTTTCATTCTTCTCATTCTTCTTTTCATTCTTCTTTTCATTCTTCTTTTCATTCTTCTTCTCATTCTTCTTTTCATTCTTCTTCATTCTTCTTCTTCTTTTCATTCTTCTCATTCTTCTTTTCTTCTTCATGAAAAGAAGAATGAGAAGAAGAATGAAAAGAAGAATGAAAAGAAGAATGAAAAGAAGAATGAAAAGAATGAAAAGAAGAATGAAAAGAAGAAGAAGAATGAAAAGAAGAATGAAAAGAAGAATGAGAAGAAGAATGAAAAGAAGAATGAAAAGAAGAATGAGAAGAATGAAAAGAAGAATGAAAAGAAGAATGAAAAGAAGAAGAAGAATGAAAAGAAGAATGAGAAGAAGAATGAAGAATGAAGAATGAAAAGAAGAATGAGAAGAATGAAAAGAAGAATGAAAAGAAGAAGAATGAAAAGAAGAATGAGAAGAAGAATGAGAAGAATGAAAAGAAGAATGAGAAGAATGAAAAGAATGAAAAGAAGAAGAAGAAGAATGAAAAGAAGAATGAAAAGAAGAAGAATGAAGAATAAGAAGAATGAGAAGAAGAATGAAAAGAAGAATGAGAAGAAGAATGAAAAGAAGAAAGAATGAAGAAGAAGAAGAAGAAAAGAAGAATGAAAAGAAGAATGAGAAGAAGAATGAGAAGAAGAATGAGAAGAATGAAAAGAAGAATGAGAAGAATGAAAAAGAATGAAAAGAAGAATGAGAAGAAGAATGAAAAGAAGAAGAAGAATGAAAAGAAGAATGAAAAGAAGAAGAAGAAGAATCTTTTCATTCTTCTCATTCTTCTTTTCATTCTTCTTCTTCTTCTTTTCATTCTTCTTCTTCTTTTCATTCTTCTTTTCATTCTTCTTCTTCTTCTTTTCATTCTTCTTCTTCTTCTGAGGATGAGGATGAGGATGAAGAAGAAGAAGAAGAAGAAGAAGAAGAAGAAGAAGTAGGATGAAAATAAGAAGAATTCCAAGCCGGCAAAAAGTGTATCTGCAGAGCTCCGCTAAGTGTATCTGCAGAGCTCCGCTAAGAAATAGCGGAGCTCTGCAGATACACTTTTTGCCGGCTTGGAATTCTCCTTCTTCTCATCCTTCTTCTTCTTCTCATCCTTCTTCTTCTTCTCATCCTTCTCCTTCTTCTCATCCTTCTTCTTCTTCTCATCCTTCTTCCTCTTCTTCTCATCCTTCTCCTTCTTCTCATCCTTCTTCTTCTTCTCATCCTTCTTCTTCTTCTCATCCTTCTTCTTCTTCTCATCCTTCTTCTTCTTCTCATCCTTCTTCTTCTCATCTTTCTCCTTCTTCTCATCCTTCTTCTCATCCTTCTCCTTCTTCTCATCCTTCTTCTCATCCTTCTCCTTCTTCTCATCCTTCTCCTTCTTCTTCATCCTTCTCCTTCTCCTTCTTCTCATCCTTCTCCTTATTCTCATCCTTCTTCTCATCCTTCTCCTTCTTCTCATCCTTCTCCTTCTCCTTCTTCTCATCCTTCTCCTTCTCCTTCCTTCTCATCCTTCTCCTTCTTCTCATCCTTCTTCATCCTTCTCCTTCTTCTCCTTCTTCTCTTCTCATCCTTCTTCTCATCCTTCTTCTTCTTCTCATCCTTCTTCTCATCTCCTTCTTCTTCTCATCCTTCTCCTTCTTCTCATCCTTCTTCTCATCCTTCTCCTTCTTCTCATCCTTCTCCTTCTTCTCATCCTTCTCCTTCTTTCTTCTTCTCCTTCTCTTCTTCTTCTCATCCTTCTCCTTCTTTCTCCTTCTCCTTCATCCTTCTCCTTCTTCTCCTTCCTCATCCTTCTCCTTCTTCATCCTTCTCCTTCTTCTCATCCTTCTTCTTCTCATCCTTCTCCTTCTTCTCATCCTTCTCCTTCTCCTTCTCATCCTTCTCCTTCTCCTTCTTCTCATCCTTCTCCTTCTTCTCATCCTTCTCCTTCTTCTCATCCTTCTCCTTCTCCTTTCCTTTCCTTCCTCATCTCCAAGGGCATTTAAATTAAAGGTACAGTGTTCTGCACTAATTTAAAGGCTCTCTGAAGCCTAGAAACCCTTTTTATAAGTTAATTTTGCAGCAAATAAATTTGCATCGAATCAAATTTCTTCCTCAAATTCGGCGAATCAGCCGAATCGAATTTTTGAATAATTCGCTCATCTCTAATCATTATGTTAGGTTATCTTACATACAGTATTTAGGATATAAAAATATGAAGGTTCTCCCACTATTCTTATGTCACAGCTATCAGGACCATCATAGAGGAACCAAAACTTCAGACTTCATGGGATAATAAAGTATTTATTGTGAGAACATGACCAGTGACAGCAGTGCAGCAAACAATGGAATATGTTGGAACAGAAACAGACAATAAATACCCAACAGCAGCTAAATGCGATAATACAGGAAATTCCAATACAAATATGTGGAAGAGCTAAGTAAGGGACCTGGGCAAGGATGGGGACAGAACGACTTCAGCAGAAGTGGGATAGGAACAGACAAGTTAAAATAGAGCAACACAGCAGGAAAAAAACATTTAAGAAATACTGCAGGGTAACAAGAAGACTGCTGAGGTCTGTGGCTGGTTGCTTGAGCTGGCAAACTGGAGAGTTGGGAACACCTCTGACAACCAAAGAGACGTTAGATAGATGGACTGTCTGGTTCTTGAGAATAATTCCTAACCAGTAAGAAGACATCTTGGATGTAAGGGTTCCTTTGTGATGTCCAAACTGGTGCCTTGCTACTAGAGAATGGAATCCATCCCAGGGCCTAAAAACAGGTTTAGTTCCTTTCAAGGTCTGGCACCAGAATGAAATACAGTCAAAGATATTCTGCCAACAAACACATAACTCAATCATTTGTTCAGGTTTCTCTTGGTTGCTGTGGGCTAATGCACTGTGTATGTTGGGTTTTGCATCATTGCATTAAAATGGAAATAAATGAGGTTTGGATACTCTGTCCACATTACCTTTAAATGACTAACAATTTTTAGTGTCTGGTTATGGATGACAAGATTTGTCTTATAGCTGCATTGATCTCTTGGTTCCTCAGGGTGTAAATAAAGGGGTTCACTAGTGGGGTGATCACCGTATAGAGCAGTGATAGAATTTTGTTCATTGTTGCAAAATGACCAGATGGAACCACATAGACCAAAATCATGGTGACATAGTATGTAGACACGACTCCAGGTGAGAGCTACAGGTGGAGAAGGCTTTCTCTTTTCCTTTGGATGTTGAGATCCTGGTGATGGCTCTGATGATGAACCCGTAAGTAGATATGATTACAAGGAGAGGTAACATAGTGGCTGTAGATGAAAAGGAATACATAACCATTTCAACAGTGGAAGTGTCAGAACAAGAAAGCTTCAATATTGGAAGAACGTCACAATAGAAATGGTCAATAATATTGTCTCTACAAAAATTCAAACTTATTACAAAACTAAAACCAATGGAAATAAGAAGGATTGACAAAGCCCAGCAGGCAAGGATCAGACAAATACACAACCCGGGACCCATAATCAGTGTGTAGTGAAGAGGTTTGCAGATCGCCAGAAATCTATCATAGGACATTGCTGAGAGGAGGAAATTTTCTGTAGCTAGAAACACCCCAAATAGGAAAAACTGAGTGAAGCAGCCAATAAGAGAAAAATAAGTGCCGTTTCTAAGTAAGATGTGCAGCATGGGGGGAACAAGTTGGTGGTGACCAAGATCTCTACTAGTGACAGATTGGAGAGAAACACATACATAGGAGAAAGAGAAAGTTTAGAGAAAAACACCAACAAGATGATCAAAAAATTACAAGAAAAGGTCAGGGAGTAGGTGACCATGAAGAGGCAGAAGAGGACAAGTCTGTAGCTTTGGTGGATCCTCAACCCAACAATGAAGACATTATTTATTGATGACGTGTTCTGCATGTCCAGCAATTGGGGCATAAATTCTTCCATGTCTTCAAAAGAAACACAAGCAAATTGATTTAATAGTTTCCATGAACAGTTTCTTGCTGTGTTACTTGGCAATCAAGAGGAAAATAGCTTGTTCCACAAATGTTATGGCTGGCCAAGTACCATATGCAATGGGGGTTGATTTACTAAAACTGGAGAGTGCAAAATCTGGTGCAGTTGTGCAAAGAAAACAATCAGCTTCTTTTTTTTTTTGGCAAAGCTTAATTGAACAAGCTGAAGTGAGGAGCTGATTGGCCGCCATGCACAGCAGCACCAGATTTTGCACTCTCCAGCGTTAGTACATCAACCCCAATGTATTCTGCAATGCTTGGCATAAGGGCCTTATGTATATACAGAAGTGTGAAATGAGCTAAAGTGAGGTGGGTTCAAGACAAACTGGGCTTACTTTTCTATCACGTGAGGTGAAGATAATATCTCTCCACTACTTCAAATCAACAATGTTAATTAAAAAAATTGAAAACTCACAAGATTTTTACATGACTCAGCTATCTATATGGCAACATTTTTTATTGCAACTATTGAGTGCTAATGTTGTATAATTGTAATCAGAGTTCATTTTATAAATGAAGTTCTGGAATAATGTTACATTGGTGAAGGGGCTCCTTCTATGATAAATAAACAGTCATTCAGGGGTGCTGCAGGTCTGGAAGGCTGCTTTAAATGGCCTTGTTTATGAGTCTCTGCTTGCCTAGCTAATATAATATAAATCCCGCTGTCATTGGATGGTGGAAATCGTAGGAAACGACACAAAGCTTAAAGCAATACTAAAGGTTCATTTTTTTTTGGGGGGGGGGGGGGGGATAACAATCATGTCTATACTTACCTGCTATGAGCAGTGGTTTTGCACAAAGCAGCCTGGATACTCCTCTCCTCAGGTCCCGTGCTGGCGCTCCTGTCTCCTCCTTTTTGTCAGGTGCCCCCACAGCAAGCAGCTTGCTATGGGGGCACTCGCTGCTCCATTCACACACAGAGCCACAACTTGGCCCCGCCTCCCTCTCTCCTCATTGGCTGACTGGCAGAGATTGACAGCAGTGGGAGTTAATGGATCCTGCTTGCTGTCATAGCCAATGAGGAGGCAGAGACCTGGGACAGCCGAGGCTTTCGTGCAAATCGCTGGATTGCGATGGGGCTCAGGTAAGTATTGAGGAGGCTGGGGGCACAGAGAAGGTTTTTTACTTCATGCATAGAATGCATGAAGGTAAAAAACCTTGAGCCTTTACAACTATTTTAATGTAGTGACACACCAACATCCACAAGATTTTGGAGGGGTGTCTGTGGGAATTTGTGCCCATTAGTGAGGTCAGGTACTGATTCTGGATGAGAAGCTCTTGCTCACAATCGGCATTCTAGTTCATTCAAAGGTCTTCAGTAGAACTGATGTCAGGGCTCCGTGTAGGACACTTAAGTTCTTCTACTCCATACTGGTCAATCCATGTCTTTATAGAGCTGGCTTTGTACACGGGGGCACAGTCATGCTGGAAAATATAAAGGTCTTCCCCAAACTGCTACCACAAGGTTGGAAGAGGCCAATTGTCTGAAATGTCTTTGTATGATGGAGTATTAAAAATAAGTAGGGCCAAAGCCCTTTTGCCTCTACTTCTCTTGTAGGTCACAGGAGTGTACATCGTTTCTGCACTCCTGTAACCTCTATTCAGCTGACAGCGGGATAAAGTCCACTGTCAGCTGACGTTACTCAGCTGTTTAGGCTCCAGAGAGACCCAACTTTAATGTCGGGATCCACCCACATGCTTTGACAGGCAGCTGGCTCAGCTTCTCAGCATGCAACTGAGAGCCTGAACCGGCCCTTCCTGCCCCCTACACAGCCTGGCCCTGCAGTGATTGCTGACAGGGCAGAGTGCGTGTGGAACTCACAACTCTTTGTTCACTGAAGACTGAGAAGACTGAGAACCGAGTTATTGGCAGTCTTTGATTGCTCAGTTCTCGGTCTCAGACCAATGCTGCATACACCTAGGTGAGAA